GGTAGCAGCCTCAGGTAACTGTAACTGCCAAGTATTTAGAGGTCACAGCATTCTAAGACACTCTACTGCTGTATCTAATGTCGTCATCCACACTTGAAGAGCTTGACAATCAGCCTTTTTTCTTCTTTACTACAACACCAATAAAAACTTGGCTCCAATAAGCACATGATGAGATGGTGACAGTAAGAGAGACAGTGGATCCACACAACAAAGTAAAATTCCCAATTGTTATTTATAATGTTTACACAAGAAGTGATTTATATAACCTTAAATTAAAGCAGGGATGGAACTGAAACTAAATGGTAAAGAAAAAGGGAGATATTCCTTAAAATAGTAGATATGAAAGCAACAGGCGTGATGAAAAATGTTACAATATTGTAACAAAATAAACTAACAAAAAAGAGAATTAACTTATTCTGACCTAACTATGATTAAACTGAGATTAAAACAAAATCAAGAGGTTTGGGGAGGGGGTCAAAATAATACAAAAGCACCTGAGCTGCCATTAGTGCTAAATTAATATTGATAATTATGGATTGCAGTTATAGGGATTTTTTTTATGATATAGTAGTGAGGACAGTATTTAATGATTGTAATGGTTATACAAAAAATCCTAATTGAAGATTTAAGAAATCAAATCTATTTATCATGGCTGCTATGTCTTAAGTAAAACAGCACATGATATCATAATAGGCTTTTTTCTCCAAGTGTTTCAAAACCACCCCCATGACTTGACATTTATTGATGTCAAGTCATACATTTTGTTTATTTATTCTAAATTGATCTGTAGCTCAAAATTTGGCAGACACATGAGGCAATAATACTGTGGAGGCATGAAATATAACCAAAATGCAAGAGTTAACTGGTAATGTTACAAAGGAAGGCTGCTTAAATGTACAATTACCACCCCTCTCCTTACCCTGCCTCCAACCAAAAACTGAATACCTGCACAAAATGACATTTATTCAGATTTGAGTTGCATAAAAAAATCAGTCAATTAAACTAACCCCCTAAATTAGATTTGCAACAATTAGGTTTACATCATAGCTGCCATAAATTAACAATATTTAATTTTTAACAGTATTTCGAATGACCAGAATCATTCTGTAATCGTTCATTCATCAGTATGCACAAGCTGCTTATTCAAATTCATTATTTTTAATGCCAAAATATAATTACTGTTGTTATCCACAAATGTTCAAATTAATTGTTTTACAAATATGCTGATAAAAAACAGTAAAGCACACACATTACAAATATTTACTTGCACTCCTAAACAGATAAATATTGTTTTAGCTGTTGTGTCAGTTGTACAGCACACTAGTGTGCTGGCTCATGTTTAGATAGAAAAACATGAATTTAGCTTTGTGAATTCAGTAATCTTTACTTGTTTTAAAGTAAACACTACTGGCCAGTCATTAGTGGCCAGTAGTGCCACCCATTGACAAATCACACTCAACCCCGTGAGCTGCCCGAGGCCTTTACTAGACAGAATAGGAAAAGCCATTCTGTAATCTCTTTAAAACACTCCCTTCTTTTTCCTCCTCCCTTGTCTTTCTCTCCTCCTCGCCGAGTCTTGCTCAGACCTTCACATGCAAAATAAAGCTGCGTAGCATTTGAACTCTTTGCTCAGCTATGCAGTAGTGAAGAGGATTAACTCAAGCCAAGCGCCAGTTTTGGCATTTCATCCATCCCTGACGGAGAGAGACTACCCAAAGCTACCTCTTTGCCTCTCTTCATCTAAATCTCCTCTTTACTCCCTTCCTGTTCTCTTTTTCTCCTTCTGTCCTTTACCCCCCTCATTTTCAATTATGACTCTGTTATCAGAAGATCAGTCTGTGAGACCCCAACCCTGTCGGATCTCTGAGCCTGGCAAACACATCAGCACTTCTCTGCACCAGTACTCAACAGACTGCAATGGCAGCAATGTGGACTACGTAGACAGTGTGGAAGACTCTGTCTTTGGAGCTGTGGAGCCTCACAGGCGCTCTCGGGGGCGCCTTATTCTCCACGGCCTGGTCATGTTTGGAAGGGAATTCTGCTATGCCGTGGAGGCAGCTTTTGTCACGCCGGTGCTCCTGAGTGTGGGCCTGCCCCAGAGTCTGTACAGCTTGGTGTGGTTGATCAGCCCCATCCTGGGCTTCCTGCTCCAGCCCATCATCGGTTCAGCCAGCGACTATTGCCGCTCGCCGTGGGGCCGGCGGAGGCCTTACATCCTGGCACTGGGCATCCTCATGCTTGTGGGAATCACCCTGTTCCTTAATGGAGATGCTGTCATCTCAGGTGAGGGATCAGTGAAGAAAACTTGAGGGTGAGGAATTCAGACAGAACAAGAGTGGAGGTAGTGTGCTATCTGTAATCTTGTTATGTCAGAAAATGCTTTGAGGCCACGCTAGCTTTGATTTAAAAGTATTCCAAAGATTTACTATCAGGCTCCACTCCTGTGGCTCCCAGTTTGGATTCGGAAAACAGGCACCCTCTCTACTTTGAAGAATAGGCTTAAAGCTTTCCTTTTTGATAAAGCTAGGGCTGAATCAGGTGACCCTAAGCACTCTCTTAGTTACACTGCAGTAAGCTTAGACTGCTGGGAGGGGCTTCCTGTGATGCACTTAGCATTTTTTTTTTCATTCACCTTGTTTCACTCTCTGTGTTTATACACCACTCTGCATCTAATCATTAGCCATTATTAATCTATGGCTCTCTTCCACAATAAATGAATGTCTCTTTCCCCTCACGCCCAACCAGTCAGGGCAGATGGTTGCCCCTCACTGAGCCTGGTGTGAGCTTCCTGTTAAAAGGGAGTTTTTCTTTCCCATTGTCACCAAATGCTCCTGTGATCATTGGGGTTTCTTTCGAATATTGTAGATTCTTTACGTTACATACCTTATATAAAACACATTGAGGTGATTGTTGGAGGAATTGGTTTGATATAAATAAATATAAACTGAACTGATTTAGGTTTTGCTGTCTTCTTTTACCTGCAGGACAAGGTTAAGGGCAAGTTTCAACCTCTTTGCAAGACTTTTAAAGACTCTGAATCCAAATTTCTACTTGTGCGCAGATTTTGGGGGATAAAATGATACATTCATCATGAAAGGAAAAAGTAGGACCCAGAGATGCTCCATTTGAATCCATTAGACTCCAAACAGCATCACAAGAGCGTCTGCACACAGAAGAATCTGTTACCATAAAAAGCAATATTAGGATGGGTAAAAAGCCTTCTCTTAAAAAACAGAAACGCTAACTGATTCACTGCTGGCAGTGACAGCGTGTGTGTGATAGTTCAGCATCCTGTGGAATCATTCGGAGATTAAATACACATTTGGCCATAATTTAAGTCACTCTGATTTGAAGCACATCATCCACTTAACCCAAATCATTGTTTTTGATTGAAAAATCATGAAAGCAACACTCTGCAAAAATGTGACAAACTCAGATTCAGAGGTTTGCTTTGTGAGGAATAATGTGTGTATGGGCAGTTTAATTTGCAATTTGTAAGCTGTACACTTAAAATGCAGCAATCAGCTCAACAGTAACATTCGTTAAGAGTCTTAATTGTGTGTAGTTTGAACCTTTTTCACTCTCGTGCTTCCTTTGCCAGCGGTCAAAACACAGTTAAACTAGATCCAGTATTGTTGTGGTTAATTTCCTTTTCAATCAAACTTCAGCAGATGTTGAGAGTTTTTATATCGTGCTGAATATCACAATCACAAGTCACTGCTATGAGTTTGTTGGGTTTTTTACCTCTTCATTTATAATTTTGATGGTGCAAAAATACAAAAACCACTCTGTTGTGATATACACACAAAGAGAATTATTTTTCTTCAATATCATCCAAAGTGTTCAAGGTGGTTCAGTTTAGCCTGAAGCTGTTAGAGGATTTTTTGTGCGTGTTTTCAGGCAAAAATTACAAAAATAGACAAATAAACAGCCAAGAAATTAAAGATAAATGCTCCTGGCTTTCTTATAGCGCTCTTATGAACTATAAAGTATGTCTCCTGACGTAGGCTGGATAAGCTGATTATCTCTCCATGTTCCCCGGGGCGTAGTAAATGCCAATGCCAAAGCGGTCATGTGACATAATGTTTTCTAGCTGCCCTCTTCTTAAAGATAAAAAACCTAACGCTGGCCTGCACCTCCCAGAGTTGCTCTTTTGGTGTTAAATTGTTTTTTTTTACTTTTTTTTTGCCACTTCAGACTTTTTTTTTTTAAAGAAGTGACAAGTTAAAAATCCTTCCTTCACCTGTAGTTTTAATATAATGATAAACCTGTCTTTCAGTATTCACTTGTATCTCTTAATGAAATCGTAAAATTGTCTTTAATAACTTCTAATTACACGTTCTCTTGTGGTGTGAGTTGACATCTTTCATATCTCTAAAAGAGCAGCTTAGTGTTCAAGCATTCAGGTTTTAAAATATAATTGCTATGGCGTCAGTTATAATAGGTTTTCTTTTTTTAATTATTGTATTGTTATTTTAAGTGCCTTCTGACATGCTTGTCCTCTGAGGTTCTTGTGATGTGTATCAAACCTAATTAAACTTGTGAATGTGACAGATAAGGTTCCTTAGTGTACTGATGTAGTCAGTGTATTATTATTTTAATCTTTCTCTGTGGTACGTGCTGAGTGCTGATATGTACTGTTGTTTTCCAGCACTCGTCAGAGATAGGTCGCTGAAGAGCATATGGGCCATCGTGGTGGTGATGTTTGGAGTCGTGCTGTTTGACTTTGCTGCAGACTTCATCGATGGACCCATTAAGGCCTACCTGTTTGATGTATGTTCACATAAAGACAAGGAAAGAGGCTTACACTACCATGCTCTCCTCACAGGTACGTAACACAAACACTGTTTGGTTCTTGCTTCAATACTCACAGCTTTTGTGTTTTGTTTAGACTTCTTTATGCCAGTTACGCTGGTGATTGTTTCCTTTTGATGGATTTGGACTTTAGTTAGGCAGTAATTTTATGTTCATTCTGCATCTGAGCAACTCACAGTAACGCTTTATGGAAGGAAGCCTCCAAAACTTCTCCTGCTGTGACTGAGTGGGCGGAGATGCACATATAGAGGGAGTGTGAAAGTTTCAGTGAACTATGTCTGTTTGTCGGCGTGTTAAACTGTGGGTGGAAGCTATGTCTTTTTTATTTTATTTGTGAGTGCAAACAAGAGTTCACTTGGGAAATGTTTGATAATTTGAGATATATACATATATGCTTTTCTTAATAAGCTTGTCTGTAACAATAAAAGTTAGGTCAGGCTAGGATAAAGCACAAATATAAGAGCACAACTGATATAACAGCTGGCTGATGATATTAGCCAATATAATGGTATAGATAAATAATTTTCATTTATCAACTAATGAATGAAAATTTTAAAAAGTAAAGAAGAGATGGGTATAAATGTCCTTCAACCATGTTATGAGTTTGGGCCTTTTTCCACTCTTTATGACACAGAAAGTAATTTTTTTAGGTTATTTAATAGAAAACAAGAATGTTGTACTCATAAATATACATTGATTTGTGTGTAATTTTGTCGTTCAATTAAGTAATGCATACTCTGGAATTAATTCACTAAAAATACATGTGGTTTACCATCATATTGCACTGTCATCTTTAATTCCATCACTGTATGCTTCATGTATATTGCTAGAAACCAACCACATAAACAATACATCCATAAGTGACTTTCAATTTTAAAATCCTCTTTCTTCTTACCTCAAGCCTCATCTCCTGAACTGAAGTCAGGGCTGTGACAAACAGAACCATGCATGCACATGCTATTTTTTTTTTTACTGATAATGTCATGATTGCTAGCCGTCAGCAGATTAGATTTACCCTCCCATCTCCGGACAGCTGACAGCGAGCTGCTAAACAACAATAGCAAACGCTCGTTATAAGCTAACATTATGCGCACTGGTGTACAGTCATGTTGGAAGAGGAACAAAGCTGGGAGCATGAAATTGTCCAAAATGTATTGACATGGCGTTAGCAGTTCCTTTCACTGAAACTAAAGGGCCGAGCCTAACTTTTAAAAAACAGCCCAACACCGAAATCCCCGTTCTTTTACCTAGCCTACCTCTCTGTGGCTGATTTGCTGTTATTCCAGTTCACATGGGTGGAATGACTGTGGAATATTTAGCAAGGAAATTTCACGACTGGACTTCACTTAGCTCCTGAGAGCAATCCATTCTTTCACAAATGTTTCTAGAAGCAGTCTGCATGCATAACTGCTTGATCACCTGTAACCACGGTGACTGAAACACCTGAAATTCAATGATTTAAATGGGTGAATGAATACTTTTGGCAATATAATGCATCTAAAAGTAACAAAATAAAAAACCTGTAAAAGTCTCCAGCACATCTTGCTTTATTGTTTATATTCATTTGACGATATTTCCTTTTCAAATGAATTGCTTCTACAGGTATAGTGACTTATGTTAAGCATAACATCTGTGTTTAGTAGAGAGGATAATGCCCTTTACAGTTTAAATGCTCTGGTCAATTTAAAAATTGCAAACACGCCAATATAAACTGTTCATTACTACTATAAGAAAAGTCTAAGCATTAACAAAGGATGGTGATTGTGTGTATGCATATGCATATGGGATTGCTCAAATACTGTGAAAACTGTAGGGTTTTAGTATTTTTTAGCTCAATTCTACAGTATAGTTTTACAGTTAAAAAGCTGAACACCAAACCAAAATGCAGGACAGATGAATGAAAAATTGAGCACAACCCGTCATTCAAAAGCCTGTAAAACCACTTTTAGGAGCAATAAATTGAGATGATCATTATTAGTCTCTCACATTATTATGGAGGTTTTTATAGTTGTTTCTGTTTATTGAGGTTTGCAGACCTTCATTTACACACATCTCTATTAAAGGTCCACTACATCATTTCTAATCAAATTGAGGTCTGGGCTGTTCAGCTATTTTGTTGTAGATTTGCTGTTGTGCTTGAAAACGTTGCAGTGTCTCATGACCTAATTTTGATTAATCGTTCGCTGTTGGGCAGATGGCTTGACATTTGACGCTGGAATACTTTGGTATACAAAGGAGTTCACTGTCAACTCAATGACGGAAAGGCCCTGTGGCTACAAAACAAGCCCAAATCATCAGCCTTCCACTACTTCTGCATGTTGCGATGTACACTATGACCAAACATCTTCACTTTGGACTGCTCTGTTCCAAAGGTCTTGTAGTTCACTCAGGTGCAACGTTGTAACCTGTAAGGTGCTCAGCGCAGGTTGTGGGATTTGTGAGTTTTGGGGCATAACCCTCTTGTCCAAGGCCAGAGCATGGAACTGCAGAGGAGCTTTTGTGTGAGTGCTTTCGTGCATTTCATAACTTTGCTCACTCCATTAGCTTTTACCCAGCACTTCATGTTATGGCCAAATGGTTGAACTGATGAATAGATTTTCCCTTTTGCTGAGCAGGTTTGCACTACAAAAAGTTCTCAGGCACATATTGGATGTAACATGACATCAACCAGCACATCAGTTTCTCCTATCAGTTTTCATTTACGTCTGATCTTTACTTCTGATTAAATAATACGTTTAGGCACACAAAGCTGCTGCTGTGCCTTTGACAAGACTCTTTGGCAGGAGGGCGAGTTAAACGCTTTTCAGTGTGGTAAATTCATTTGCACCTCTTTGTCATCCAGTGGACCGTTTATCAAAGAAAAGGGGGAAAAGATTAATATTATCACTTTTTTATGTTGCTGGAGGTATAAATTCAAATATCCTTTAAAAAGTTAGTATGTAAACTAGCCTGCTTGAAGATTAAAGTTAAATATAAAGTTGAATATAGTTTTATGTGCAGACTTTAAGATCTCCCCTGCTTCCCATAATTTCCATTTCCAACATTTCTGGAAGGCAGTGTAATTCTTTTTAATCATTTGAACTGAATATAATTTGAATATAATTTCCATGTCGATACCCATAATACTTTCACATTGGATAAGTTCACAATGAACAGATAAACCTGCAGCATACTGTAGTGCAGTAAATGTGATATTTTTGTATATTTTTGTTATTTCCGATGCACTAATGAAGCATTATAAACTTAAAGAATATTCCCCAAAGTAGCTCACATAGAAAGACAGACAGGATCAAACAAAGCTTCTTTCATGGACATGATGATGATGTTTTCGGTGTGAGCGTAGCGGTGTGCTCAGCTCAAATGTCAGCAGGCACTGGGTGGTGTGAGCATTTGAGTGAGGCAGTAATCCAGCCGTGAGCTAGTCATGTGTTACACAGTCATGAGTCTTAGCTGAGAGAGACCGGAGCCAGGCACATGACTGCCATGTCTGGTATGTGAAGTTTTAGTACTGTACTGAATACTTTTACATCTGAAAGTCATGTTTTTAAACCATGTTAATCAGTATAACATGAATATTATTACTGTACAACAGGACTTCTTAAATAAATAATTCCATCGATAGCAGGGTTGAGCTAAGTCAGAGATGGTCATATGAATCCAGTTTATCAGCAACATACTAATAACTGTTTGACGAGGCTAAGATCTCTATGTGCATGTTAAGTATTAATCTATAAAGATTTGTTTTCTAATGTTTTCTGTGCCCTGAATCACCAGAACAGCGTGTTCTCTGTGGGTGTAGACCTCCTGATTTCCAAATGAACCTCTGGGTTTTCCTCTCCTACTTAACAAAACATAGACACAGTGGAGCTGTGACTCCCTCCATCGGAGACAGGGGAAGGTTAGGCAAGGACAAATTTGCATGTTAAGATATAATTTAGTGCAAAGATATGAGTTTTAGGGTTGTAATTAATGTCAGGAGATGACCTTTATCTGTGGACTTTTGTTTGCAGCAGTGCTTTTTAAAGGTTGCTGTTTTGATCAGATGATGTTGTTGGTACCCCCAGGGGTACTTTGGAGAATTGGAAAAGGTGTGAAACTTGTTTTTATTTCTTATTTATAACAATGTTAGACCTGCATTATTCCTAAACTAATTAGGATTATTTTTTAAATGTAGATTTGATAAACTGCATTTGATATTCAGCATTCCTGTTTTCATTGCTATGGCAATGTGTGAGTAGGAACCCTTGTTTCCAATATTTAATGAAGGATTAAATGTTACAACAGTATTCAGAGTATAGTGAAAGAACGCAATTGTATGAGGCCTTTTTTGTGCAATGACAAAAGAAAGCAAAGACATAAAAGAGACTAAGAAAAAGAGCTAAGAAAGCATGTGATCATTGCAGAGAATGACAAAGACTTTTTAAACCCTGTTTTTTAGATTTGGTTCAATACAACCAAGATCTTCCAATTCTTTGTCTTAAATAAGGAGATGTTTGAACTATTGTATCTAAGTGATTTTTATTACAGGCTTGTTGTTTAAAGAAGCTCAATGGCTCAATCCTTTATTGTACTTTTTGTGTTGGCAAGGGGGTATTTGTCCTAATAAAATACTTCACGCTGGGATGCAGTATTTATGATGAAAGTTTGATAACCACGGGTTTACATTTTTACAATAAATCTATGCGCTGTTTGCAGCACCATCACAACTGAGAACAATCAGCCTTGAGTCTAACCACTTCAGCCTTTCAGCCTTTTTTTTTTTACTTTTTACTTGAGTGAAACTGTAGGTGCAGACAATAAAAATCTCAACTATTACAGTGGTAGAAAAGACCAGAAAGAAAAGAAAGGCACTCTCTTGAAGCAGGAATTGATTCCGCATCAATCTTCAAGTCATGCAGACATAAGTGAAGTGTGACTCCTGAAGTGGTTATTACTGTACCTGCCAATGACTAAAATGTAGAAAAATAGCCTCTATTGAGGTGAGCAACTATAGAGGGCTGCAAAGGCAAGAGT